CTGAGCCAAGCATGCAAAGCACAGACCCAAACCAAAGTTGTTGTTGTCAGTTGCTTTGAGTCAGCTCTGACTCACAGCGAGCCCATATACAATAGAATGAATTGTTCAGTCCGGCACCGTCTTCATAATCGTTGGTATGCTCAAGTCCATTGTTGTGGCCACTGTATACTTCTGAGTGCCTTGTGATGTAGGGGGCTCATCTTCCAGGACTATATCAGACAATAGTCTGTTGTGATCCAAAGGGTTTTCATTGGTTAATTTTCAGAAGTAGATCACCAGCCCTTTCTTCCTAGTCTGTCTTAGTCTGGAAGCTCCACTTAATGTGTCTACCATGGGTGATCCTGCTGGTATTTGAAATACCAGTGGCATAGCTTCCGGCATCATAGCAACACACAAGCCACCACAGTATGAACAACTGACAGACGGGCGATGGAAACCAACAGAGCAAAGGCTTTGAGAATTTAATGGAGATATGAACCACCTCACCATCTACTCTTGGTAAGATGCTGGTCCCTTAAGCAAGTGGCTTAGGTTTTGACAGTCACTCAGGGCCAAGGACTTGTCCCTCACAAGGTAGGATTTGGAATTCAGACTGTCCCATATTGCTGGGATTCTAAAGGTTTACACCTTCACTGAAAGGCTGGACCAGGAAAAAAATCATTTGCTGGCCCGGATGAAAGTAAGGAAGCTTGTCTGCCTTGGCCTGACCTCTGGACAAAAGAAAGGTCTCCCCTGAGAAGTTGTACCCATAATCTATCCTCATATGAATCTGAGATTTGAATTTATACCACTTCTATAGTCAGACGCCCCAAAGTAGATAAATTAACTTAATAAGTGATCCAGCCTGGGAAAATCCCTGAGGCACCTGGCAGATACAACACAAAACTTCTCTGTATGGAAAAACTCTTAACCAAGCCTCAAAGGATTCTCACCATAACCCCCTACTGAAAGTGAGCTCACAATAAAAAATAACAAAATATATGAGAAAACTGAAAAGACAGTATGTGCACAAACGTGTAACACTTGGTTAACACTTCACTGCTAAGCATTAGAATTTTTCTAAGCAGGGTGCCTTTATTCTCAGTGGGAAAATACTAGGAACCTCATTAAAAAGAATTGGGAAGGATATTCACCGTATGATTCCATGAAATGAAGGAAGCAAATTATGGAATAACACATATAGCTTGAGACAATTTTTTTAAGGAAAAAGTACAAAAAGGTTATATATTTGTATGTGCATATAACAGGGTATGGGAACATATATGCTAAACTTATTGAAGAGTATGATTTGGAGATAGTTAAAGGAGAAGAGTTTTAAATACCTGTGTACTGTTTCATGCTTTGTTTTTTTCTTTTGACAATGAACATTTGTAATTTTTTAAATTAAAGGAAAATAAAGAACTCGTTTATAACAATAGCAGCTGTTTTGTCACTGAAAATAATAGATAAAACCCAATTTTCCAAGTGTAGTACAACTGGTACAGGGAAGTCAAGCAATAGGCTAGGAGGAAGACAAACCCAGAATTCTCTGAAAATCCCATTTTTCATGCTTCTCTTAGTTTGGTGTTCTGTCACCTAAAATGTAATTATTCAGAAACTGGTTTTCAGAGAGTGTCCCCTTCCAAGAATAATGCTCATTCAGAACAACTTGGAAATGATTCAGTAGCTGACAGCAGGTCACAGGTGCCTTACATGATAAACTTTATAGCCAAGCCCCAAAGAGATCAAATCACAGCATTAGAAAAAATGGTGAGATTATCCTCTCGCTTGTGCTTAGCTTAGGGTCAGTCACGTAATCACAGAAACTCTAGTCAATGCAAAATGGCTAGTTGCATATAAAAATGTGAATACTGTACAAGACTAGCAACTCTACAAAATTTTGAAGAATTGAGTTGCTTGAAATGTCTTGCTAAAAAGGATGCCTTTACAAACCACAGGGAAATAATTTACTGTGTTCCAAAGATAAAAGCCTTGCTAGAAACAAGAGGCACGTAAAGTACAGGAAAATAAAGTTTCCAAGGCAGAACTCAAAAAAACATAGTTAAGAAATTTTCACAATAAAATTTAGCATCTGAAATTTAGTATTTGAAAATTAGTTTTAATTAGATACATTTCACAATATATGAATTATAAGTCTAAGATAATTCTATAATTTCCTTTTAACAAAATTTATCCTCTGGTCAAATTTGCGACATGCTGAATATCAAAAAGAATGACTGTGATTATAACATACCAAATAAATAAAATTCTTAAGTCCATAGTGATACTCAAAAAACAGAAAGGAAAAAAAATAGGAAAACTCTTTTGTAGACGAATGTCAGCTAATAAGAGTAGAAGGAAAGATACTTAGAAAGCTACCATTTTGCATCCCCAAGGCAATAAGCGAATCAGGCTAGGATCAAGAATGTAAGCTAAATCTATTAAGGGAAAAGTTGTCGAGGGAAAGGATATCAACACATTACCAAAGAATTACCCACAACTACTAACCTTTTGCAAAGAAGAAAAAATGCCTTTATAGTGGAGAAATATGGTGTTCAACTTATTCAAGTTACCACTCCTAAATTCAGTAATAGTGGAGCATCTGATACTATACGTTTCTGACATGAAGCAATACCAAGTACGCAACTTCACCAATAAAATCTTCTTGCCAAAAATGTTTAACCTGAATTCAGTCAAGCCCTACACCGTTTGCAGGACATAGAAGAGCTAATATGAAAAAAGACAACATAAGGAAACAATCAAATCCAGAAGATGAGCCTCGCTATAAGACAGCCATCCTGAACTCTTCAAAAAGTCAACGTCATCTAAAAAAAAAAAAAAAGGGAGAATATTCTAGACTAATAAGACCTAACAATCAAACTCAGTGCACAACCTTATTGGATCCTGGTTGGAGGAGGAGAGGAAGATATTTTTAAAAAATTCTTAAAACTGGAAAATTTGAATGTAGATTAAATATTTGGTATTATGAATTACTGTTAATTTTCCTAGGTGTGATCATGATATTGTTACATGCGAGATCGTCCTTGTTCTTAGGAAATGCATGTTTAAGTTGTAGAGTGATATGCCATGATGATGCTTGTAATTTAAAAAATAGTACAGTAGTGTGTGTATGGTGGGGGGGATGGCCAATATCTGTCTTTGACCTACAAAATCAGCAATATGGTTTAACCTAAGACATAAAGAGTTAAAGCAGAGACAAAATGTTAGCAGTTGTTGAATCTAGTTGGTGGGTTTACAGGTGTTTATTGTAGTATCCTATCACCTTTTCTCTGTTTGAAACCTTTTGTAATAAAATGTTGTGGGGGGGAATTCTTCCCAAAAATGTTTTCCTTAGAAGACAGCTATCAAATTTATCCTAAATTTTAAAGAAGTACCTTAACTATTCTAAAAAAGTGGCTTGCTTTTTCTCATTTGCTTACCACTGATTCCAAGACTACTACTAAAGCTTGCCTCAATTATTGAAAATCACATTCTAATGCTAGAACAGGCATAATATAAAGTTCACAAACACCAATAATGAGCACAAGATTTATAGATGTAAACATCTGGTTTTATACCCAAATAACAAACTTCACAGCAGTAAAACAAACTTTATTACAGCATATAATGTGTTATATTAAATTTACACAATGATATATAAAAACAGATACTGCTTCTATCATACAGGAATTTAACATCAACAGGAATATCCAAACAAATACTACTCATGCACAAAACATGCATATACTGGTATTTAAAAAAGCAATTTTACACAACAATGTTTACAAAAAAAAAATTCTTTTTTTAAAAAAAAGCCCTTCCTGACAGGGTCAGTGGTCCAATCTGGACTGGATTGCACGAATATGTTCAGGCCAAAGCTTAGGTGGCAGAGGGCTCAGTGAGCAATTCTGAGCTTGGTGTCACCCCAAGGGTTACTACATAGGAGTGAATTTCTTTGTATCCGAGGATCAAAATTTTTCTCAAAGGCAAGTCCTCCAAGGGAGGAATGGCTGGATCTGCTGGAAATTCGGGAAAGGGAAAAAGGCTTCAAAACGTTGGCTAAATGGCCCTAGAACGGGATACCAAGGCTTAGGCACCAAGTGTGGCAAACGTTTTAGTAATCCTTCTGCAAAGAAAACAGAATGGTGAAACATCTGAAAGAAGGCAGACTATATAAAAAATTATAGAAAACAATGACTACCCCTCTTCCCTATTTCACACAATTGTGTATGATGCCCCCCCACCAGAAAAACACTGCCCTAAAGAATCAAGGAGCAAATGTTAAGTCCTAAAATTCCGTCCAATTGACCTCAAGATGAAAAGGTCTCACTCAACCTGATAAAACCTGAAGAAAACATCGACACCTGTAAGGCAGTCCCCGGGTTATGAACGTCTGACTTACGTACAACCCATAGTTATAAACCAAGCCCTGTAAAGCCTATTACATTAAAAATTTGAGGTACATACAATGGTTTGTAATAACGGGCACTACTTTGCAACACACATCAACACATGATTACTGTATTATTATGCTAAAGATGTTTTAGTGTACCTGGAAGTGTTTCTTTTAATGTTTTTTATGCATAGAATGGTACACTATGTACTATATACTAAGACAAAAATCTGACTAACTGATGATGTTAGATACAACCCATACCTAACTGTTCAGACTTACTACAAATTCCACTTAAAGACAGATCTAGGAATGGAACTTGTTGGTAATCTGGGGACTGCCTACACCTTGATGGATGCTCAGGAAAGGTAAGGTAAAAATCAGCTGATACCACATACATAATTCAATTCACCACCATTAAAACCTCAATATTTTTAATTCTAACTAAGACACCATTCTTCACCTTCCCTTACAGGCACTACTGTCCATACATGATGAAGATGTGACATAATTTACCTTAGTCTTATCTTAATTAAAAAAGAAAAAAAGCATTCCATGGAAGTTTTACATAAAACACCATCTTTTTTCTGTGACTAGAAAAAAACACTTTCTATACCAAAAATTTTACTCAAACCGTGGTCATCAGTTTCAAAGAGCCAGACCTAAAGCGGAGGATCTTCTTCTTGAGGTTATGTGAGGCCTTAATTTTGACAAAGGTTTTTGTTGGGTTGTTGTGAAGGTCTGGGGCTGTGACCGTTTGAATAGGGAGAGTCTGGACAAACTGGGACCAAATTAGTCCTCCACTTTCTTCAGAGTCACTGGTGGTTGTGCTCTCCCCCACAAACTCCCCCTCACTCACGCTAGACTCACTGTCCCCGAAGCAATTCATGGTGTAATTGCTCTGCTCGTCCTCACTGGTGTCCACCACGGTGGAATGGAACAGGGACTCGCACTCGGCCGAATACTCGGAGTCACTAGCTACGAAAGCATAGGGGCTGGCATATGGAAGAGGGACAGGTGCTGCATACACACCCACGTTTTCCCTGCGATTTCTCCGGGCTCTTCTCAGCGCTTCTTCGTAAGAAATCTCAGCCGACGACTTCCACCGCCGATAATCGACTCGCTTATGTTTAGGTTTCGCCACAACCGCATCCCGTCCATGGTCATGGGACCTGCTCACAGGCCTATGGCCGCCACCTAGGGGCCTGCTGGGAAGACCGGCATCAGGCTGGGCATTTCCGCTCTTCCTCCCCTTGCTAGAGGCTTTCTTAAGTTTCTTATTTGTATCCAGGTCATCGGGAAACCGACACTTCTTGCTCATAGCCCGGCTTTTCTCCCTCACGGTCGGCAAACTGTGTTCCACCCCGTGAAGGGCCTGAACTCTGTGCTTTAGGGTTGAGTTCTTCGGGATTCCGGCGTTCTTGTTGCCCCGGTGGAGCCTGACGCCGGGCTGCTGCCCCGGGATGAACTGAGCATTGACCAGATGCCCTTCTTCCAGGCTTTGGGAAGAAGAGCCCTCGCTTTTGAAATCCAAGGCAGGCCTCTCTTCCACAGGGAGGGAAGGCAGGAGTGGAGCAGCAGGAGGAGGAGCTGCCAGAGGAACAACCTGCAGGCTGCTTTTCTGCGACATCTTTTTCAGTGGCTGGGCAACTTTATTCTCTTGCAGGGGGGCAGGGACTCTCCCAGGGCTCTCTTTTGGAGAGGCAGCTGAGACTTGACCACTTTCTTTAGGGGACTCCCCTGCCACAGCAATGGGACACCGAGCATTTTCTTGGGAGGCTGCTTTGACTTTTGGCACATGCTTACTTGAAAGTTCAGTGCCAGCACCTGACGAGCAGTCCTCTGGTGAGGGCAACCTCTTGCTTTCCAGTTGTTCCACTTTTGATTCTTTTGACCACTGCTTCAGTGGGGAGAATGTGCCATTGTCCAAACAGGGTGTTCCACCAGACGGCAAACACGCCTGTTTAGAATTCTTAAGGTTCACACTATTGCCTTGTGAGACACCACCAGTCACTCTGACACAAACGCTCCCATTCCTCAGAAGCCCTTTTGTGGGGTCAGCATTCACACTGGTTCTAGGTTTGTTGGTCCTTACAGGGTGTGTTTTTTTCTGGATGAGGCTCAGAATGTAGCCATCCATTTTCTTACTGGAGGAAGGGTGGGAAGCAGACCACAAACTGCTTGGAGATGGTAAGAAACTGTCTGTTTTGGTGGAGTTGAGCTCAGATCTGATGCAAATGTCACTGGCATGTTGACCAAGCCTCTCCTCTTCCCTCAGAGGGTTGCCCGTCAGACAAAGAAGAAACATCGGGCTCTGCACAGCCACGGCATGAAGTGGACTGGGATAGCGATATACATCATTCCCATTTTTAGATACCAGATCACACTGGTACTTGGGATTCACATCTGCAATGACATCAAGGGAGTTAAATTGTGGTGTGGAGGGGGAACGGCAAACTGCCCTTGAGGCCTGGTCTTCACAGTGGCCTTCTTTACATTCCAACCATCCTATGAGATCTGAAAAACATTTAAAGGTACACTCTGAAGAAATGAATTGGTGAGCACCCTCTTGACTCTCTGGCCAGTTTTTATGAAGACAAATTCATGCATAGAGAGAGAGTGCCAAAGAATCAAAAAAATACTCCACTAGCTACTTTACCATTTTACACAGTTTATACTAATGGAAGAGGGAGGAAATGACATTTCTATGGCTACATTATAGTCCTCTCTCCCTCACAGATTTTTTAGGCATGCCAGTAAGGAATAAAAAGGAGCAATAAAAAACGTCATTTGTTTGAACACTCTTACACACCTAGTAGAAGCTGATACAACCCTCTCGGAGAGAAATTTGACTATGTGACTCAAGAGTGTTAAAAATGCTCATACTTCTACCTAAAGAAATGATAAAGAGGTACACAATAATTTATGTACAGGATATTTATCATAATGCTATTTTAGACAGTAAAAAAAATTAAAATTAGGAACAATTTAAATGTTTAATGAAGAAATTTTTAATAAAATAAATATATCCTCTGAAGGAATAATATTCAGCCATTAAAAAAGCTTCCAAAATGTATTGAATAATATGGGAAAACACTTTAAAGTTTAGTGAAAATCATGATACAATACAGCAAACTATGATTATAATTTCATTAAGATTGTGTGTATGCAAAGAAAAAAGTCTGACATGAAGCACACCAAACTACAAATAGCAGTATCTCAATTTGGTGGGAAAGCAACTTCCTTATTTTCTACTTACTGAACTTTTAACAATAAATACGTACTGTAATTATAACTGGAAACAATAAGTATTTTTTAAGTCATTCTTTCTGTAGGCTACTCTCCCCTCTGTGTTCTATTCCTGGTTTCCCTTTAAAATACTTTGGATAAACTATATTTTATGGCCTTTCTCCTCATTTTGTATTTTTTTAAACCTGATTCTTAGTGACATATGTTCAAGTATAACTGTAAATTGAAAGATCAGGGAAATTGATTCACTGATCAATTTTCAATAGAGACTAATCAAATTTAAATAATAATCACCTATATTTTCAACTGTGATACTAAAAATTAAAGCACAGTATTTTTTTAAAAATAGAAAAAGGATATTTGATAAGGTTTTCAAAGACTGAGTAGTAGTGGTTAATGGATAAATTTCCCACATCTCAAAAGTGAAGATGCCAAAATACAATGAAATCAAGCTTTCTTGCTTAATTAAATGATTTTGAGGTCTTATCCTGGTGAATATTATAAAAATCAAAAAATCCTTTAATAACTTTCAGTTATCAGAGACAATCAAAGTTGAGTTTATTACTAATTTAATTTGTCCCCCACTGTATTTATTCATTCAAACATTGAGAACATACTATGTGTCAGACTATAAAGTCTCTTATGTTTAGGATCCACCCACAAGTAAAAGATTTCTGCCATACAGAGGCATTCCTTTAGAGCAATACAATAAGAAGACCATAAAAAAACCCTATGATATTTAAAAAAACATTCTTTACCCTAAAAACATCAAATCTTCCAATTCTTCCACAATGTTAATTGTTTAAAGGGAAACTCCATGAACTTCAGTGATAATCAGCAGTCCCAGGGTAAAAACAGTCTAGACCCAGAAATGATACGATTCATTTGTAAAGAAAAGATTATTATAAGAGTGCCATGGCCCCACCCTCCCCCCCAACATACAATAAACAGCTTGTTCGAAGAAGGACATCCTTCCCCATTCCTCCTCACCCACTCCCCTAAGCCCTATTTTTGCCTTACTTAAAGCCACATTTTACCTACACTTTACCTTGGTCCCTTTTCCCTACTTAAGAGTTAAGGAACAAAACAGACATCCCAACCCCCGAGACCCAGCCCAACTATCTCAATTACGTGAGGATGTGGCATTTCCCTAAGGCTTTTCTGGCACTTGGGAGAGTGAGGGTCTATCTTCGAGGAAAACTTGTACCAAACTACCTTTAATGGGTTTATAAAGTTGCATTCTGATACCAAATCTGCAGAGTGAGGGGGAGCAATTATCAGTGAACCTGAGGCCCAGACACTAGATACCTGGCCCTGTGCTTCCCCAAATGATTGATGCTGACAACACACACTGTACAAAGACTCCAGCCAATGAGCAACACTCAGCTGCTCCATATTATGTCTGCGCCGCCTGCACTCAAAACTTCAGCCAAGTGGAGAACACAGACAAGCTAGTGATGCAGTGACTAGTGCCGGCATCTACAGCTCCTCTAATCTCTGCTCTTTCAAGAAATCACAAGACAGCAGAACTAAGGAAGGAACCCCGAGTTTCAGCACCAAATCTGCCATTCAGCAGATGGGGAGCCTCTGATAAAGCTTATCAGCTGCAGGTCTTCCTCTGTTAAATGAGGAGGTTGAATACAACAATTTCTGAAGCCCCTTGACATAGTGGAAAAACATGGACTTCGCAGTTAGGCCTTGGCTTGAATCCTACCTTTGCTTCTCACTAGCTATATAACTTTAAACAACTTACCTAACCTTGCTGAGCCTCATTTTTCTTATACATGAAAGGGATCTAACACCTGCATCTCCCAGAACTGCTGTGAGGATTCGAAGGAGGTAAAAGTAGGCCGAGCTTCCAGTACAGTGTGTGGCCTATAGTGGAAATGCAGAAACCCTCCCAGTACCAACAACAGCATGACTCTCTCTGGAGGTCACTGCAAGGATAGCCCAGAAAGGGGAACAATAGCACACGAGCTAGTGGGATCCCAACCCACCTACCTACTAAAAGAAAAGCTGCCATCGCACAGGCTGTTCTGGAGAACAGAGGGGATATTGTTCCCTGAAGTGCCAAGCAACCCTTGGCAAGACTGACAGACATATTTAACTTAATGGTGAGCTTTAGCTTTAAATGATTAAGGAGGAAGAAAACAGATCCAAAGTGGTTTTCAAAAGAAAATGAAGACAAGTCTAACAGCAAAGGCTTAGAAACAGAGCTCAAGATCTATAATAATGGGACAAGATTTCTAAAGACAAGCCCTGCTGCTACCATCAACATAAAGCCAAGCGGCACCCAAAAAATACCGGAATAGTGGTCACTTGATGTTTTAAACACAACTGCAGCACTAAATGCAGCAAGTGGATGAAATTCTCTGAGCCTTTGTTCTTCCATTAGTAAACGGGGTTGGAGCTAAAGAACCTCTGAGGGCCCCTGCCCTCTTCCAATTTAAATTTCTATCAGTTCTAAAAATTCTTACCTGCAGATTTGGGGCAACCATCTGAGATCGTCAAGGTTGCCTCCAAAGGACTGCAAAAGCAGGTACTAGAATGACAACTGGATAAACACTCACTGAAGACCGAGTTAGAGGAATTGGAGAGGGACCCTGAAGTACCATCACTCAGCTCATAAAAACCTACAAATGAAAATACCATTTGGAATTAAGACCATGTCAAGCAATATTACACATTCATGCTTAAAAAGAAAGGGGATAATCGATCTAGGAAAGAGACTTTTTTTTTTTTGGAGGGGGGGCCAACTTTGGCTCACTGAATTTAGTATCCTGGTTTCCTGGTTTTATTTCAAATAATCCTAGGAAAAGGCAAAGAGCTCTTAGCTATGTTTCAGAGTTACTCTCACCCTCAAGCTGATCTTCCTCCCAACCTCCACCTTTAAGGATGTGCAAGGAAAGAGACTTAGATCTGTCAAGCCTCGACTTTATCATGAATCATGAACGTTTCAGAAGGAGTAACTTTAAGAGAAAAACAATCTATTTAAGGAGCCAAATGGTTTAAAAAAAACTTTTGAAGTGGTCTCAGGAAGCTGAAGTGTGACTAATTTTCTAGCCAGTTTTGACTTTCTCAAGTTTCAAAGGAGGACCAATCTTCCAGAAATTTGAATACAAGCTTTTATTTTTAAACTGTGAAATAAAAAAAAAAAATAAGCATCTTACTTTGACTTCAAGGGATTTCTTCTTACCCGGGAGCCCAAAATTAATAATAAAAGCCTGACCCAAAACTGTAAAACTACGAACTTGTTTTTTTCACCAGGAACTGCTAAACTACCCTACAGCATTGTCAGTTTGTCTTTTCTGGCTTAAAAAGGATAGTCAATAACAAACCCATTACCCAGTGATTTAATGAAAAAGACTGAGTGCACCCTTAATTTTAATTTTAGTTTCAAGAGATCTCATAGCTACAAATAGGTAAAGGGCCAAACTTTTTAATGCTAAATCAATAACCATTAAGTACTCTGTCACCATGGAAACATATTTATTAGGCAAAAAAAAAAAACTACTCCTAAAGATTTATGCAAATGAATGCCCCCTCCCCCTCAAGCCACAGACCACCTAGTAACTTGATGCCAGCTGATCTCAGTAAAGGGGGGGGCGGGGCATGTTTCAATCAATCATGTTAAGATTAGCCAATGGTTGATTTTCTACCCTACTCCCTCCTCTTCTCTTTAAAAGCTTCACTAAGCAGTTTCTATTGGCCATCACAATTTCCATAGCCAGCAGTGAGAGATCATTTAGTAATTTAAAACCAATTGCCATAGGCACTATTTTCTGTAGATAGGCCCCTGTGAACCCCAAACTGCTTTTTTTATTCTCTCTGCACTGGAGACAGACTCCACTGCCATTTGCAGGTCTGGGAATGTGAACTGCAGGGGGCCAAGGTATAGCCAATGAGTGCAGAATTCTGTCCTTGTGCTCAAGTACTCACCTGAGCTAGGCCGGCTGTCTGTCTCCAGGTGCTCTTCAGATGTCTTTTCCACATCCAATCTTAGGTCACTTATCTGCTTGTCGAGTTCTTGCAACTGGTTCAACAAACCAGCATCTCTTCTCCTCAAACAATTCTGATTAGGAGGAAACAGAGAAAGGAAGAATGGACACACTTTGGTGACAGAAAACCAGAAAATCTGCTCTAAGTATTAAATTGCCCATCTGAAGAGTTCACTAAATCTTTTGAAACCAATATTTCACTGGTTGACCTAAAATAAAGAAAAACTTCAAGAATATGTTCTGTTTAATTCTACTTTGTCACGATATAAAATTTCTTCATAAAAAACAAAACTTGTTTTTAGTTTCAACTAAAATATACAGTTATTTTTTATAGGTAGGGACAAGAAAAGCGCATTGAGTTTTTTTAATTCTCTGGTGTCCAGCCAGTTAAAAAAAAAAAAACAATACTTCACACTCAGCTCTTCAGTTTGAAGTCAGAGTAACAGATTTCCTACAATACACTATAATCTTACTTAGGTGAGATTCTCTGACCAAATATCTCAGCCTGCACAGTTTGTTTTCTATTAGTTGCTTTGTGAGGTTTAATCAGTCTCAGGGCCTTTGAAAGTCAGAAACTAATACCAATAGCCATTGCCAAGTATAACGTGAGCCGGCAGAATCCAAAACCCTCAAGGGAAAGCCCATCAAGATTTGAACTCAGCTCGGGTTTCCAAAGGTGACAGATCTGTTGTGCTAACTCACACCGCCACCTAGTGCTTCCTACGGCTGGAAAAGAAAAAGCAAAAAAAAAAAAAAAAACTCAAAAGGCATCTGGCTCAAATCACAAATGCCAAGTCTACAAATGAACATCGTACCACAAATATTGACTGGACTGGAATTCTCTTGACACACTGCCTTGCTCCCCTTGAGCAGACAATACGAACGTGCCACTCACAATCTGGAGACTCATGAAGACAGATAGGTGCTACTGCACAAGACAATGCATAAAATGTAAATGACCAGGCAAAACCAGAGGGACTGTCCCAGATCAATGTTACATACAAACCTGGCCTGCTACCAAAGAAACACACTAAAATGCCACAACAGAGGTATTACAGATACCATGGTGTCCAGCCTTACAAAACAGATCCATATGAATATCTACTCTTCCTGCCCTTTGACTTAAGACATATACCGTATGTTTATTTGCTAGAATGACTTTCTTCAGAAAAAAATGAACCAAACAAGTAAAAGCACTTTGATGCTAAAAAAAAAAAAAAAGGAAAGAAACAAATTATCTGAAAAAAGATATACAAAAAATTCATAACAAATAATGGCACAGATCACTACTTCATTGTAGGAGGGACACTATTGAGTATGTGCCTAGTCTCAGATAGTATCACATTGTCAGGTGAGGATTTTTTGCTGTTTCCAAAACTACATTTCGAGGTCACTGGAACAAAGCTGCCGCCATTATTCTAAGGCGGGGTCAAAAGCTGTTCATCAATACATTAAGCTCCAAAGTTCTTTTTCTTCCCCGTTAATGACGACTGTGTAGAATGACTGAGACGCCGAGAGAAATCCAATAAGATAAATGCTCCTTGAGAGCAGGTTCGCTCTTCTACCACCTCCCCCACCAATCACAGCTAGCGGTACGGATAAAATATGAGAGGAGGGGGCACTTTCTCCAACCAAATTTCCATCATTTGCATCTAGTTTTAGCTCCCTTATACAAAGGGCTTCTATTTAAAATTAAGCATCAGCCAAAAACTGGCACGCTGGGGAGAGCCCTGGGAGGGGCACGCCCTCCTATGGGCGCTTCAGTGTAATCGTCAAAACTCAGCGTTGGACGGTTAGCCACGCCACAACCCCCTCCTTGGCTTTTGTCCCCTCTAGGCGGGAGGAGATGAAGCTAAAAAAGACCTCCCATAAAATAATATTTTAAGCGACGGTTTCCGAATCTTCAAGGAGAGGGCAGGTATTTGTCCAACTAGGGAGATAGAAGGTTACAACCAGGCGACTCCAAGAATCCCGAAGGCAGCGGAGGAGGGGAGGGCGGCCACCCCCTCCCCTCAAGCCGCGCGGGGTCGCCAACTCCTCACTTCCTCAGCCACAAAGCGGGCACACGCCGGACACGCCTGGGCGTGGGCAGTCCACGCGCACTGGGCACACTCAGGAATGGGGATCAGGCAGGTATTGGAGTGGGGGGTGGTAAAAGCGTTAATTTCCCCAGGCAGAGGCAACCTCGCGCCCATCCCAGGTCACCTGCCCAGACCCCCAGCTCCGCTGCGGGGACAGCCGTGCCCCACCCCCGGGCACGACCTACCAATTGTTTCCGCAGCAGCAAAATGTTCTCCTCCAAGAACTTCTCCTCCAGGCGGCTGCGCTGCGCCGCCTCAGCCGGCAGCTCCCCGCCGCGGGGCGTAGTAGCCCCCGCGCCCTCGGCGCCGCGCAGGGCGCCCCGGACCAGCAGCTCCTGGCGCTGGCGCAGGTACTCCAGCTCCGCCAGCCCGGCCAGCGTGGCCTCCTGCCGCTCCCGGGTGCGCTGCCGCTCCGTGTCCGCCTCGCCCTTCTCCCGCCAGCGCCCCTCGAGCTCTGCCGCGCGCTGCTCGCCCCGGGCTGGCGCCTGCAGCTCCAACTCCCTCGCCGTCCCGGCCGGACTCGGCTTCATGGTCCCCAACCCTGTGTCAAGCACCGGTCACCGCAGCCGGGTCGCCCGGGCGGAGAAGCCGGGACGCTAGGGCTGCGGCCGCGGGCTCATGCCGCCCTGCGGCGGGGCAAGCGACTAGGGCGGCGACGAGAAGCGCTCAGGACTCGCGCGCGGCCGCC